ATAAAGAAGGGGCAGGAGGAAGGAAGAGAATTTGGAACTCAAGATTTTAAAAAATGCATGTTAAAAAATTTAATGTAATTGGAAAATACATACAGACATATGTGTATATGTATATGTGTATATATGTGTATATATGTGTGTATATAGCTAAGAGGGCTATTGCCCTCCTTTTCTTCTCCTTATTGTCTCTTCCCTTCACCCTCCCCACCTTTTTCATGAAGCAACCCCCTCCCCAATTAGCTTCTCTTAATGCTCAGGGGGATGTGTGTAAGGGTGGGTGAAAGGTCCTAGGAGTATCAACACCTTTGATCATGCCTGAGATGTGTATGTTGGTAGGATCACCTCTAAGACTGAGTGTCCATGTTGGTGTCTGGATATATGTATGGGTGTGTGTGTTCAGGGGTGAACATGTGTTGGCCTGCTATTTCAAGGCTGCTCCTGCCTGGACCTTTCTGTGTGTGTGTACACACACACACACACACAAATTCATATTACATATATACATATACATACATACATATACATATACATATACATATACATACATACATTTGTATATATGTATATATGTGTATATACACATATATGCACACACACGCGCACACACACACACACACACACACACACACATCTCCTGGTTGTTCAGTGCAATCTTGTGCATCCACCTTGATCTCTGAAAGCTCCCCTATTTCCAGCTCATTAGAATGCTGTCTGCCAGTTTCTTCAGAATTTCATTCTTTTTTTAAATTTTATTTTTTTTAGGCAATTGGGGTTAAGTGACTTGCCCAGGGTCACACAGCTAGTAAGTGTCAAGTGTTTGGTCTGAGGCCAGATTTGAACTCACATCCTCCTGATTTCAGGTCTGGTGCTCTATCCACTAAGTCACCTAGCTGCCCCACCAGAATTTCATTCTTGAGAACTTATCATTCTTCCTAAACTTACTTTCCTTATAGAAGTATCATATATCTCCTTTCTATGAATACTACAAAAATATGCTCTCTCAATTTGTAGGGAACTATGGTTTTCCTACCCATAAATGTTGTATATGCTGTAATGTTTTTGTAATATCTGTATTGTCCGATTCGGCTGGTTTTTTTAAACTGCTTTTTAAAGCTGCTTTTTCTCTCTTCTGTTTTTCATTATAAAAGGTGACTTTCTGGAGAGGGGAGATGGGAAGGCTATATTTGGAAATTAAGGTGATATAAAAAACTATCAATACAAAAAAACCCTCTTTAATACGCTCTCTCAAAATCTTAGGAGCATATTAGATCATAATCAGTTTTCCTCTCCTTCATTATCATGATTACTAGGATGTAGTTATGTTCTTCCCCTAAAACTTCCTCCTTTTTTTCATAACACAAAGTTACTCCTTGATAGTGGTAATTAGATCCAGAAGGCTTCCTCAAACTTTTGAAGGATTAAATTATCATCAAAGCAGGTCTCTAGTCTACTCCCCGACAGCCTTCTAACTCGGATGCTACGAGGCTATTGCTCATAGCTATATGCTGTAAGACATTTGGCCAGCTCTCATCAATCACGTATTTGATAGATGCTTATTCTATACCGTACCTTGTGATAGGTAAGGTACAGATGACAGAAAGGTGGGAGGAATAATTGACAAAAGAATCAGGATCCAAAAAAAAGATCTCTATAGAAGGTGATTCCTGCCTTCCCTGAGGGAATTTCTTTATATATACAGTATAAGCATCAGAAGGTAGGAGACTAGGCCAGATAATCCCCACCTCTTAGAGCCTGTGAAGTTCATGAGGGTAATAAGGTCTTCTCTGCGAGCCCCTTCTAGGGTGGGAGAGCCTAATATCAAGATTGAAATACCTGTCCTATGCATATCCCTAACCCAAGGACTCCAGAGAGCCTCTTTGGCTTAGGATTCTGAGTCTGTAACTCTTCTGGAAATGGAGCCTGGACTACTTAGCTCAGAGGCTCTTTTTTATATTGTGGATTCCTGTGGCATTCTGGTAAAGCCTATGGATCCCTCAGCATGATGCTTTTAAACACATAAAATAAAATGCATTACAAGGGAAAGCCTAGCTGTTCCAAATCTCAAACTGTATCATAAAGCAGCAATCATAAAAACAAATCTGGTACTGGCTAAGAAATAGAGTGGTGGATCAGTGGAATAGATTAGGTATACAATACAGTATAGTAAATGACCATGGTAATTTAGCGTTTGAAAAATCCAAAGATCCAAGCTTTGGGGACAAAAATTAATTATTTGACAAAAACTGCTGGGAAAACTCAAAAATAGTATGGCAGAAACTAGGTATAGACCAATATCTCACAATGTAAACCAAGATAAGGTCAAAATGGGTGCATGACTTAGACATAAAGGTGATACCATAAATAAATTAGGAGAGTATGGAATAGTTTACCTGTCAGATTTATGGATAAGGGAAGAATTTATGACCAAACAAGATATAGAGAGCATAAATATAGAAATATAACATGGATAATTTTGATTTAATTTAAAAGGTTTTGCACAAACAAAACCAATGCAACCAAAATTAGAAGGAAAGTAGAAAACTGGGGGGAAAAATTTTACACCAAGTATCTCTGATAAAGGCCTCATTTCTCAAATATATAGAGAACTGAGTCAAATTTATTAGAATACAAGTCATTCCCCAATTGATAAATAGTCAAAGGTTATGAACATATGGTTTTCAGAAGAAGAAATCAAAGCTACTTACAGTCATATGAAAAAATGCTCTAAATCACTATTCATTAGAGAAATGCAAATCAAGGCAACTCTGAGTACCACCTCACACCTGTCAGATTGGCTAATATGACAGAAAAGGAAAATGATAAATGTTAGAGAAGATGTGGGGAAATTGGAACATTAATGCATTGTTGGAGTTGTGAACTGATCCAATCATTCTGGAGAGCAATTTGAAACTATGCCCAAAGGGCTATAAAACTGTATATACCCTTTGATCCAGCAACATCACTACTAGATCTATACACCAAATAGATAACAAAGAGGGAAAGAAACTATTTATACAAAAATATTTATAGCAGCTCTTTTTGTAGTGGCTAAGAATCAGACATTGAAGGGATGCCCATCAACTGGGGAATGGCCAAACAAGTTGTAGCATATGATTGTAATGGAATATTATTGTGCTATAAGAAATGACAAGCAATATGATTTCAGAAAAACCTGTAAAAATTTACATGAACTGATGCAATGGAACTGAGCAAAAGCAGGTGAACATTGTACACAGTAATAACAATATTGTACAATGGACAACTGTGAACGACTTAGCTACTCTCAGCAATACAATGATCCCAGAAAATTTCAAAGGACTCATGATAAAAATGCTATCCATCTCCAAAGAAAGAACTAATGACATCTGAATACACACCAATGCATACTTTTTTCTTTCTTTCTCTTTCTTCCTTCCTTCCTTCCTTCCTTCCTTCCTTCCTTCCTTCCTTCCTTCCTTCCTTCCTTCCTTCCTTCCTTCCTTCCTTCCTTCCTTTCTTCCTTTCTTCCTTTCTTTCTTTCTTTCTTTCTTTCTTTCTTTCTTTCTTTCTTTCTTTCTTTCTTTCTTTCTTTCTTCCTTCCTTCCTTTTCTTTCTTTTTTTCTTTCTAAATGATTAATATGGAAACATTTTACATGACTGCTCACATAAAAACTATATCAAACTCCTTATTATCTCAGGGAGAGGAGGAAGAAGAGAATTTGGAACTTAAATCTTTTAAAAAAATGTCAAAGGAAACCAATTACACTGAAATAAATACGTAAATTTTCCCCATTCAGTTCAAGGACCCCACTCTCAAAATTAATTCATGGGCGTGGTGGTCTGTGGACCCTGGTTAAGAACCGTTGCCCCACATATCTCTACTCACCTCTCCCAACCACCACACCGCCCTTATCAAGTTTGTACTTTCAGTCAGGAGTCCTTTCTCTGAACTTAGGGTCATGTGACAGCTGTTGACGGTCTTCAGCAAATCAATTTTCCTCTCTGGGCCTCTGACCTCTGAGGGCAAGCCTTTTTCAGGGATGCTCATCCAACTTTGTTGTTCAACTCTCACCTACGACTCCAAGAAGCTGTAGCATGCACAGCAGCCACACCCTGGTAAGCCTTCTCGGCAGATGGGCTAAACAAAGTTAAGGGTAATTGGCAAACCCATCTCTAAGCTAGAGGGATGTCTACCATAAGCATGTAAAGACTTCTCCCAGCAAAATGGATGGAGGAGAACAATTTGGTCCAACATCTATGAAGACAGCGAAAGTAGGCACAGTGGCGTGCTTAGAGCTTGGTGAGACATCAAAAACACCAAGTCATCTACTAAATCCCAGGCCATCGCCAGTCATCCTGACTTTTGTCCTGCCACTGGACTTCAATTGACTCAGAAAGAAAGAGTGAGGTTGATGACTTTGAACAACTCTATCTCACTTAAATCCAGTTCATGGGCAAGTCAAGATAGCATGCTGTGATGTCATTGTTCCTCTCCAGAAACGACAGACGAACAAGTGCCTAGCATGTACAAAGCATGATAATACAGTCAAGGAGTTTTTATTCTACTGGGAAATGAAGATAAAACATTTACACAGATTCAGGGATATCAATGTCAGCTCATACAAGCTCCAGAGAGCCTAATGTTAAATTTTCAATGTGAGCATTTAACTCCTCAGAAACTGGAAAATGCTACAAATGAGGACTTGATTTATTCCAGCAGCCACTTCTGGAGTCAAGTATTTAGAGTAATAGAGCTGGAAAAGACCAACTGGAAGAGACCTCAGAAATCATAGTCCAATCCCTCCTTTTTTATAGAGGAAGAAACTGTGATCCATTAGAAAGAAATGACTTGCCCAAGTTCACAGTGAATTAGTTGGCCTTCTTGGAAGAAGAGGAAGGTGGCTTTCTAAGCTATCATTCCCCTCTCTGTCTCCACCCTCCTGGAATTAGGAAGCTGGAAGAATTAATTTTAGCTCTTACTTCAACATCATTCCACTTCCCTATTTTGTTTCAAGAGAAGATCCACCCTTGGAGTTCAAGGAAATGTCAGGACCACCAAATAGAGGCCATCTGGGATTCCGGGTTTGGATTCTGCTGACCACACTTACTGGCTCAGCTTGCATGGGTGAGTCCTGAGATGGCTGGGATAAGACAGAGGTTGGAAGCCAGTTTGAAACTCAGGGGAATAAAGGAAGAATGGAGAGCAGGCAGAGACTGGGGCCTTGGTTCTTGCCAGTTTTGTAAGGGGCCCTCCACTCCCGACCTCTAGGCGCTTTGGGGAATGGGCATCCCACGAAGGCTAAGAAGGTGAGAGAGGGGGTTATAAGGGGAGGTGTGGGACACTGAACTAAAATTACTTTGCTCACATGGCCAGCCCTAATTAGGTACAAGGGTGGGGTGGCTGTGATTAGAGGATCAGGACAGAATGCCTTCCTTTCAGTACCTCTTTATAGCTAGGCCTTGACTCTGGCTAATCCCTGGAAGAAAGTGAGAAAAAAAACAATTTCTCTCAATTTCCACTCCCCCCCCAACCCTGCCCTCCACACTGCTGAGCCTTAGCAGAATTCAGGGAAGTAGCCAAATCATCATCCACCATGGGGTGGGGAGTGGGGGGATGGGGAGGACCCTTCACCATGAAGCTTTGATTAGATGGGATTCTTAGAGACCTAGAAGCAAAGGCTCTACTCTGGGCCACATTTATCATATCTCCCTGCCCTTCAGTACCTTTCTTTTTCTATGTTAATTTACTTAATTTAATAACTTAATTTCTTGGCTCTAAAAGAAAAATTCTCCATCTCTCCATCCATCCATCCATCCATCCCTTAGACAGCCACCTCAGACACCTAGATATCGGCAGGAAGTGGGGGTGGGGACAGGCCAGACACGAATGGGAAGGAGCAGTCCTAAACAGACTTGTGTTCTCCAGCCAAGAGAGAGACAACAGTCGTGATTACAATCACTCCTCTCATTTTGTCTGCGGCAACAGGTTATAAACTAGTCTGAGGAATTCAACTTGGAGACCTGGCAACTGCTGAGCAAAACTGAGTGGTACAAAAGCATTAAGCTCAGTCAGGTACTCTTCAGTCCAGCCTTACCACTAAATTTCTAGCTGTGACCCTGGTTGAATCATTTCCCCTCTGAAACTCAGTTTGCTCATCTGTAAAATGGGGATAATACTTGTTATCCATACCAACCAGTACTATTATAAGAAAGGCCCTTTGTAAACCCTAAAGCAACATAGAAAAATAGCATAGTAATATGGTGTAAGGCTCCTTCCAACTCCGAAATTCTTTAATTCCATCAATCAGCTCCATTAATGGAAAAAGCATATAGCTAGGAATTAAACAACATAGACTTTGGTCCTGGTTCCTCCAAGGCACTCCTCACAGGGCCTCAGCTTCCTTTCTATATCTCTAAGGCCTCTTCCAGTTTGAACATTCTATGTTCCAAGGCCCCTTCTCACTCACTGTTCTGTGTCCTATATTCTGAAATCCCTCCCAGATCTACAATTCAGTTCTGTGTTGTAAGGTCATAACTAGCTGTAACATCCTATGTTCCATACCTTAGAGTCAGTCCCCTCTCAGCTCTTATATTCTCTATCTCACAGGACATCATTAATATTCTTTAAATATCCCTTATTGAATTAGCAGAGGTTGTGGAACATCCAGACTTTTGAAGCTGAATAGGACCGTAGAGGCCTTCGAGGACAACTCCCTCATTTGAAAGGTGGGGAAACTGAGAAAGGAAGTGATGTGCCTGGGTTACACGGTGCTAGACCCAAGACCAAAGTCCGGGTCTCCTGACTCCAGGCTAGCACCCTTTCTGCTGCTTCCACTGTGCAAAATAAGGATTGGTATATCTGGGCCCAGAGGATTTTGTTCTGCTTTGTTTTATTTAAGGGATTTAATTTGTTTGTTTGTTTTTTGTGGGGAGTTGTAACCTCAACCACCAGAACCAAAGGTAAGGTAGCACACCTGTGGTTTTGTCCCAGGAAGAGTGGGAAATTTGTGAGAAACATCACTAAGAAAGGAGAGGCCTTGACAGGATAGTAAAAAAAACAGCACACTGGGGCATGTCAAAAAGAAGGTGGAGGCTGTTAAATGAGCTCTAGCCTGGTCTATAAGTAGGAACAGAAGATCACCCTCACTCTGGCCCTGACTTGGCTAGCCAATCTCCTCAATGTTGATGGGAGGTAGGCACAGGCTTCTAAGTAATAGAACCAGAAAGGCAGGTGAGGACTTCAAGTCCTCCTTCGCACCCTTCCCCAAAGCACTCCCAACCCTCAGCGTTCAGGCTTTTTGGATGCCAACAGTGAAGTAACAATGGGCCTTAGCACCTAGTTATCAAGAATAACTAGTTAAAATAGGAAGTTACTAGGTGGTGGCTTCAACTTCCCAAGGTGACTGACCCAGCAGCAACCTCATGGTGATACAGATTCTTCACCAAAGGCTGGAGGTATTCCCAGAGTCTCTGTCTCCCCACTAGACAGCAGGGTATTTCCCTGCCTCCACCTCCTGATCTGGCCATTCTGAAAGCTTTTCTGGGCCAAGGTATATGGCTATTGCCCTGAACACAAAAATCCCTTGCTATGACTCTGCCACCTACATCAGTATCACAGTCCCTCCCTCCATCACTGCTTCTTTAACTCCAACCTAGCAGATCCAGGTGGCTGCAGCAGATGCAGGTTCTCTGCCTCTGACTGCTACCTTCTGCAGGAATTCTCTTTAAAACATCAAGCCGACTAGGTACAAGTTGGGGGGCAGAGAGGCAACAGGCACCTAAGGAAGGCTTTAAAAAGCTGAGTTCTGGTTTTCATGAAGATGACCTTTGTTTCAAATACAAAGAAAAAGGATGAGGAGAAGCCCAGAATGTACAATGCCAGTCAATATCTCCCCTAGATGGGCTGGCTGCTAAAAGACATCTTTTAGGGTCTAAAAAAGAATTCCTAGTTGGAATTCCTAATAAAATTTACCCCCCTCAATCAATTAATTAATGAATCAACATTTATTAAATGCGTACTATATGCCAGGCACTGCACTAGGTGATGAGTATATAAAAAGAGGCAAAAAAAAGTACCTGCTCTCAAAGATCATACAATCTAATAGGAGAAACAACATGCAAACAAATATATGTGTGTGTGTGTGTGTGTGTGTGTGTGCGTGTGTGTGTGTGTGTGTGTATACACACGAACAAGCTATAGATAGGATCTTATATGTAGGGTAAATCCTATATATAGGATAAATAATAAATAATTAACAGAGAAAAGTCACTCAAATTAAGAGGTTAGGAAAGCCTTCTTGTAAAAGATGGGCTTTTAGAGGCAGCTAGGTGCCGCAGCGGATAGAGCACCACCCCTGAAGTCAGGAGGACCTGAGTTCAAATCCGGCCTTAGACCAAATACTTGACACTAGCTGTGTGACCCTGGGCAACTCACTTAACCCCAATAGTCCAAAAATTAAAATAATAATAATAATAAATAATAAAGAAAGCTCAAAGGACTCTAAGAGCTGGAGCTGGAGATAAGGACAGAGATGACTCCAGGCACGAGCCACTGCCTTGGGGGGGGGGGGAGGTGGGCTTTTAGTTGGAATTTAAAGGAAGCCAGGGACATGGTAGGCAGAGTTGAGGAGGGACAGTGTTGCAAGCATGGAAGAGAGCCAAAGAAAATGCCTGGAACTGAGAGATGGGGTCAGCAAGGGGGTTAGTGTCACTGGGTCAAAGTGTACATGGTGAGGAGCAAGGTATAAGAATACTAGAAAGTTAGGAGGAGTCTACATTATAAAGGGTTTTGAACACCAAGCAGCGGATTTTGTATTTGATTCTGAAGACAATGGGGAGCCACAGAAGTTTATTGGGGAAAAGGGTTTCATATGATTTAACCTGCATTTTAGGAAAATCATTTTGGTGGCTGAACGGAAGTTGGATTAGAGTGAGGAGAGACTTGAGGCAGACAGACCCACTAGTGATGGGGGGCTAGGGGATGGTGTCAAAAGAAGAGAAGGGGGCCTATTCAAGAGACATTGCAAAGCTGAAATTACAGGCCTTGGCAACACCTTGGATATGGAGGTGAGAGATAAGGAGGAATCCAGGGTGACTGCTAGGATGTGAGGCTGAGGAACTGGGAGTATGCTGTTGCCATCCATATACTGAAGGTGTCAGGGGGTGGGGGAGAGGGTTTGGGGGAAAGATAATGATTTCTGTTCTAGACATATTGAGTTTAAGATGCCTATTGGACATCCAGTTTGAGATGTCTGAAAGGCTTTAGAGATGTAAGATTGGAGGTTAGCAGAGAGATTGGGACAGGAACGATAGATTTGAGAATCAGCAGTATAGAGATGGTAAATCAGTCCATGGGAGCTAATGAGATGGCCAAGTGAAATAGTATAAAGGGAAGAGAAGAAGGCCCAGTTTAGAGCCCTGAGGGACACCTACAGTTAGAGGGCATGATCTGGATGAAGATCCAGCAAAGAAGACAGAGAAGAAGCAGTCAGATAAGTGGGAAGAAAAGCAGGAGAGAATAGTATCCTGAAACCTAGAGAAAGTATCAAATAGGGGTGATCAACGATGTCCAAAAATACAGAGAGGTCACGAAGAATGAGAACTGAGAAAAAGCCATTGGATTTGGTTAGTAAGAGATCATTAGCAACTTTGAAGAGAGCGGTTTTTTGGTGGAATGATAAGGTCAGAAGCCAGATTGTAAGGCATTAAGAAAAGAGTGAGAGGATACTGGAGGCGCCTATTGTAGACAGCCTTTCCCAGGAGTTTAGCTATAAAGGGCAGAAGAGAAAAAAGACAATAGTTAGCAGGGGTGGAAGGATCAAGTGAAGGTTTTTCCACTATAGAGGAAACACAGGCATGTTTGTAGGCAGTAGGAAATGAGCCAGTGAAAAGGAAGATATTGAAAATAAGTTAGAGTGCTTTAAAGTCTACCAAATACACACCACATCTCTGTGAGTCTGGTATTGTTACAGTCAAAATAAGGTAAACTGAAGCACAGCATTCTGAGCATGATTCATTTATTAGTAAAGCACAAATTTGCCAGTAAATAGAATCTCAGCTTGCTCAGAAAAGCTAAGACTCCAAATGAGGGATATAGATTTCCTTTATAGTTTTGAGGAGTACAAAACAAAGAACAGGACTTTGCAGGTAGGGAACAAGTTACAATTGGTTAAAAGAGTCCAATATCATGAATGGCAAAATCAATACGATTGGTTACAGATCTGAGACAGGAGGAACAGCATGATTTGTTGGAAATTGGGAACTATGGGCTGGCAACAATCCCTTCTTTCTCTCCTGTGACTAAGAAATATTCATTTTTTGAGTCCACCTGCAAAGTTAGAGATAATGGACCAGACTTTTTTGGATAACAAACCAGACATCCTTAAAGGATAGCTTAGTGGTGTAAAGATACTAGACCAGACTCCCTGGTACCCATCTGTTTTCCTTGAGGCAAGAACAGAACAACGATTAGCAGGAGAACTAGATTTCTAAACTTAACTCATTACAGGCCCCCTGAATTTCTGAACTAAGTTCAGAGACAAAAAGAACCATGACTTGGGGAGTAATAGGACAAAATCAATTAATTGTAAATAGGATCAATTAAAAGGTGATACAGAATCAATCTCATTATTTCAGTATGGAATATGAAATAGACACTAGGCCTAGGAATTGAGGCATATAGGGAAAGCTCAAATAAGGTGATTTTGTTTTCTAATGCAGGTGGGCATTTGCAGTCTTAGAAAGTTTCCTAGAGCCTTAAGAAGTTACATGAGACTAACCCAGGGTTATTCATCCAGTATGTGTCAGGTCTTACTGGTTATAAGAACAGTTCTCTAAACACTATGCCACATTACCTTGCAGAGCTTAGATAGATTAAATATTACCTCCCCACCCCCTGCCCGGATTAGATAGATTAAATATTACCTCCTCACCCCCTGCCCTATTTCATAGAGGAGCAAAATTAGACCCAGAAGTAAATGGGCTTTTTATTTTTCTCCACATGTCCCTAAGTCTTAAAACTTCATCAAATTTCCAACTCCACCTCTTTAGTTACCAAATTATCTTTCTAGCCCCTAAAATAAAGATCTCCTTCCTCTCTTCCTCCCCAATCCCCAATGCCTCTTCTTCTTACCAGACTTTGGGGAAATTTCACTTCCATAATTAGAAGGGGAGCAGCCAGGTCTGGGAGTGGGAGTAGACGTAATCCCTATGGAACAGTAGCAGAGACACTTCTAGATCAAATGGACCCATTCCCCTATTGGGGTCCAATGTCTCCTTAGTGAAGTCCTATGTCTCCAAATGGTAGGTACTAAGGGTCCAGACTAGAACCTAGGTTTCCTGAATCCCAAGTCATGTCCTTTCATTGCACAACTGCCAGTGTGTTCCTGCCTTCCCCCACTTTATCATCCCCTGTGAACTCTTTTCCTTCCCAGGTACAAAAGCCCAGAAAGATTTTGAGGTAAAGCAACCCTGGGGCCCACTGAGAGTGATTCAAGGAAGTTCAGCGATATTGCCCTGTGTGCTGACCAGTGATGTGTTTGATGGGCCTACTAAGTGGTTCAAGGGAAAAGGAATGGGCCAGCAGCTCATATACAGTGACAAAGACCACACCTCTGCCAGAGCACAGAGAGCGAACCACTCACATGGGAACATGACCATTCTCACCAGCAATATCACCACCCAGGATGATGGGGTCTACTACCATGTGAAGTTCCACCAAAATAATAGGAGTTATGTAGAATATAAGTCTGGGTTAGGCACCAGGCTCTCTGTGGGTGAGTACAAAGCAGGGAAGGACATCATGGTGTACTGAAAAGAATATGGGATTGCATTCAGAGGACTTGGAGTCCAATCCCAGCTCCGCTACTAACTATTTATGTGATTTTGGGCAAAGCAACTCTCTGCGCCTCAGTTTTGGCATCTGTCAAATAAATTAAGGGTGGGAAATTGGTTTAAAGGATTTCTAAGGTCCCTTCTACCTCTTAATCCTATCTTCCACTATGAGCTCTGAGTTCTCTGGTCTTATATCCCCCAGACTCTGGCTCCTAGGGATTCTTCTCTCCCAGGCCCTCCTCAGATGACCCATTCCTGGGACAAATGTGAAGCACACAAGGCACAAATGTCCACTCCCTCTCTCTCTGAGAGATTATATTAGGTAGTATTTACAGATTTAACCCATTTGAGTCCAGAAGGAGAGATTGTAGAATCATCGCGTTGGATAGAACCCCCATTCCCCAACACAAGAAGTCTTCAAAGAGAGGTTGAGTGATCACTCTCTGGTGATACCATAGAGAAGATTCCTCTTCATATATAGATTAGACAAGGTTACTCCCTTCCATTCTCAAAAGTGGGGCAGCGAGGTGGCACAGTGGATAGAAGGCTGGGCCTGGAGTCAGGAAGACTAATCTTGTTGAGTTCAAATCTGGCCTCAGACACTCACTAGCTGTGTGACTCTGGACAAGTCAGTTAACCCTGTTTGTCTCAGTTTCCTCACTGTAAAATGAGCTGGAGAAGGAAATGGAAAACCACTCCAGTATCTTTGCCAAGAAAATCCCAAATGAGGTCACAGAGAATTGGACACGACTGAAACAACTCAGCAACAACAACAATAACATCATCAGTCTAACTGGGGAAAAAATATTTGTGCACATAGAGAAATTTATAACTATAGGTTAAATAATGTGGGTACTGATGATAAGGACAAATAAATTATATAGACAGAACTACAGAAGAGAGAGTTCACTGGCTGAGGGCTGGGATGGTCAGAGAAGGTTTCCTGGAGGAAGTAAGATTTGAAGTCAACCTTAGAAGATGGGGAACATTTGGACAGGTGGAGAGAGGCAGGTACAGCATCCTAAATAGTGACAGAATGTGGCCAAAAATCAGGAGGTGGGAAGTGAACAACATGGGCTGATGAAGAGATTGTACTAGGTGCAGTATTGTGTGCAAGAGTGGAAGTAATGGAGAATAAGACTGGAAAAGTAGTTTATGTCCACAACACGAAAGGTCTGGAATGAAAGGCAATTTATCCTGTAGACAATGGTGAGCTATGTGTGCTTTTTAGTAGAGGGAGACCAGGATCAGGATGACACCTTAGGAAGAGGTTTCCAGCAAAATTGTTGAGAGGGAGAGAGCATTAAGAAGGGAGAGCAATTCATGGGATCATGGACTTAGAGCTGGAAGGATCCATACAGCCATCTGGGTAAAACCTCTTCATTGTATAGCTGAGGAAACTGAGGCCCGGAGAGGCCATGTGACTTTCCAGAGGTCACACAGGTAGAAAGTAGTAGAGCTAGAACTCAAACCCAAGTCCTTGGGAGGCTTTGAAGTACCAACATAAGAGCCCTGGACTTGGAACCAGACAACAAGAGTTTAAATCAACTCCAAGTAACCTTGGGCAAATCACTGACCACTCTGGACCTCGGCACCTTATCTGTAAAATGAAAGAATTGACCTAGATGGCATCTGAGGGCCTGCCCAGCTCTGTATGCATGATGCCATGATGCTATGATCCCTTCCTTTTCAAATTCTATAGGAACTCAGGGGGTGGACTGATCATAGGCTTAGATGGGGACAGTGGAAGACCTGGAAGGATTCTACATCAACTTATCTCCATTTGCTCTCTCCTCAACCTATCTTTACTCCTCTTACTCACCTCATCTAATGGATCCTCTACTCCCTTGGCTCAGTCTCAGTACTCCAGTGTCCAGAAGATCCAGGGATTTCCATTTTCTTCTTTGTGACTGGCTTGCTGGGGCTGAAAGCATTGTTGCTACTCAACATCTTGACCATCTATATTATAAGGAAGAGAAGAATATAAAGGTGAGTGGGCAATTTTGTCCCATAATGATAAGATCTAGACTCAAGAAAGAAAACAAGGACCACAGTCACAATTACAGTGAGAAATAGCCAGTCTTTAGGCCTCAGCCATGTCTGGGGACTTTGACAATGCCCTCTGAAAATGTCTGTTGATCCTCAAAGATATTTTTTAGATGGAGGGATGGTGAGTGGACTTCCCTATCAGGAATTAAAAGGAGCAGAAGAATTATGATTCCAAGAGTCCTGAAATCATCTCCTAAAATCTCCACCCTGTGTAATAATAATACATGAAATCTTACGAAAAGTGTGGCCCCTTCCCCATTCTTGGAAGCCTTCAGAATGTCCTGATATCTCCCCTATCAGAGACTCCAGGGCTCAATAGATTACAGAGAACAACTTCCTAAAAGATTAAATGATAAAGGGAAGATGAGGTCAGAATGAAATAATCCCAAAATCACAGAATCCTGGAATTTTGAATCTAGAAGGGACCTTAGAACATAGGATATCAGACCAGGGAAGGGCCTTAAACCATACAACATAGATTTCAGAGCTAGATGAGACATTCAAACATAGAACATACAATGATAATCCTGACAGCAATTTAGTTCATGTCCTTAATTATACAGAGAAGGAAACTGAGGGACATAAAGGATAAATGATTTTTCAGTTAGTGGCAGAGCTGGGACTGGAATCCTTCTCTTCATTGACAGTACAAGGTGAGCCTAGTAGGATGGGATATTTTTCAAGTGGCCAGAGGTTAAAAAAAAATAGGAGTGTTTAGGTTTATGAATGGATAGACAAGATTATACCATTGAATATCAGTGGGAGAGGGACCTGGCCCATCCCCTGCCTCCTCAGCTTGGGCCTCCTTTGGCCTCTAGCCTGTGTCCACAGGCTTCGTTCCCCCTACTCTAGAACTACATGTGCCTCCTATTCTCCCTAGAAGTTGCCTCCCCAAGGGAGTCTACCCTCTCCTCCTCCCTTCTCCTATGCCCCTGGAATTCAATGCAGAGTGGGAAGGAGAAGGCATAGAGAAGGGTAGGATAAGGAGATTAGGACAGGACAAGGGCTGTGAAAAATAATTCCTGGAATGGAATCAAGAGGGCTCTAGGGCTCTGATGAGCTAAGCTTTCATGCTTTTCCCTTCCCCAGAGGAAGAGGAAAGAACCTGGCAGTCCTAGAATCTACAGTGATACTTTACAAAGACTACAAGAAGAAGATCAGCTCATGTTTCCAGAGGTCACAGTTCATGGACCTTCCCCATCAAACCTCTAAAAGGATATTTAGCCCAAGCTCCCTCCCAGAGTTTCCTGTCACCTGTTCATTTGTAATTCCTTTTAAAAGTTATATTGACATATTTCACTTCTACATCACCTTCATTTCTGAATATATCCCTCCTTGTCCATCTATGCAAAAAGCCATTCCCTTTTAAGATTATTTTTTAAAGAGTATGTTGGCAGTTTTAAAGAGCGGGTTGGCAAGAAGCAGTTTGACAAAACATATTGACCAAATCTGACAACGTGCATTTTGGCATCTTTTCTTCTGGAGCAAGTTTAGTCATTATAATCAAACAGTATTCAGTTTCAGGCTTTCCTTTTTACTTACATTATTGTAGTCATTAAACAAATATTTCTTCCTGGTTCTGCTTACTTTACTTTGATTTAATTTGTGTGTCTTCCCATGCTTCTCTGAATTCCTCATAATCATAATTTCTTACGGAATAAAAATATTCTATTAGATTAATGTACAACAATTTCTTTAATTATCCCCCAAACAACTAACATTTATTTTGCTTCCAGGCCTTTGCAATGCCAAAAAGTGCTGAAATATTTATATTTTGGTGTATATGGGACCTTTCCTTATGTCTTTGACCTCCTTGGGATATACACACACATATATACATACATACACATGCACATGCACACACACACACATGTATGTATATGTGTGGATATCTGTATGTACATATGTGCGTGCATGTGTGTGTGTGTGTGTGTGTGTGTGTGTGTGTGTGTGTGTGTATCTTGGGGTCCCCAGGTTGAAGGGTAGTCACTTTCTTATCATAAATCCAAATTGCTTTCCAGCAATTGGTTGGCCCAATTAATTATCTCAGGCATGTAGCTGGCACGTGATGAGATGGAGTGAAGGACAGCTACAAAATGGAATTGATTTCAGGTGGAAATCAAGAGAATCAATTAGAATCTATATCACGAACAATGACTCCATCTTGTGCTGCCACATGTATTCACTTTCATTTTATTGTTTTTTCTAACAGCTTTTCTGATATAATGATTTCCCAAATTTTACAATTAAGAGAATTTAGAAATGTGATAATGGCATACACAATACCATGTGTTTAAAACATGAAACAAAACTTCTTGCTAGTCAGATGACATCAATTCTGCTGAATGCATTTCCAAATTATCTTACATAGAAAATCATTCATTTTATCATTACCTTTGGCATTTTATACTAATCACATCTAAAACCTGGTATACAGTTACATTCAATTAAAGAAATAAAAATGATAACATTATATATAATAAAATTATAATATAATACAACACTATATAGTCAACATTTATATAGCGCTTAACATATGCCAGTCATTGTGGTAAGCACTTCACAATCATTATATCACTTTGATCCTCATAGTAACCCTGGGAGGTGGGTACCATTATTATTTTCCTCTTTACAAATCAGGAAACTGAGGTAAACAGAGCTGAGATATCTTGCTTAAGATCACACAGCTAATACATTTCTAAGACCAGCAGTCCCTCCTCAATGACTCCTCTACAGCGTAAATCATTCTTTCCATTCCTTAATTAAATTGTACTCATTTTTAAGTTGCTCCCTAATTTAAACAAGCTTTTCTCTTTTCATGCCCAAGAAAGGGTTAACAAGAGGTGACTATAAAGTTTTCGATAAATTTTAAAATGCAAACTGCATATCTATTTGCCTTTTCTTCACTCTGGGATTGCTTTCAAATTAGCTGCCTTCCTTCATTACACTAAGACAATAGTTCTATCAATCTTCAGGGCAGGGAGGAGGAGCTGGGCAGAGGGGCTGATCTAAGTTCTATTTACCCCTTTTCATTATTTTTTTAAAAATCTACACACAGTGCATAGAATGTTGGGCCTGGAGTCAGAAAGACCTGAGTTCAAATTCAGTATCACATGCTAGTTATGTGACCCTAAGCAAGTCACTTAACCTCTGTTTGCCTCAGTTTCCTCATCTATAAAATGAGGATGATAATAATAGCATATACTTCCCAGGTTATTGTGAGATTCAAATGAGACAATAATTATAAAGTGCTTAGTGCCTGACATGTAATAAACACTACAAATATATTAGCTACTATTAGTGTGCCTATCTTTTCATAACTCCTCCCACACTGATTATTCCCACCTTTTGTCATCTTTGCCAGTTTGCTGGGTGTGAAACAAAACTCCAGAGTTGCTTTGGTTTGCATTTCTCTCATTATTAGTGATTCGGAGCATTCAAGTTGGAGTATAAGGTCTGGGACTAGACCTGTACTTTTATTGGAATAGAGAACTCCTGAGTGAGGAAAATCCCTCCACTATTACAGGTCAGCACCTTCTCTATAATTTATATAGTCTTAACAAGCTGCCTAACCCTAAAGCAACTCAAAGTTCAAATGGCTCAACCAGGGTCACACAGTGTCAGAGGAAGTTGATGCCACATCTTCCTGGCTTTGAGACCAGCTCTCTATCCACTACACTGTGCTGGCTATTAATAATTTTTCATTCTTTTTTTAAGAACTGCTGGTTCATATCCTTTTATTAGTAATCCATTGAGGAATTACCTCATTTTCTTAGGCGATGATGTGATAACCTGCCTAGAGGTTGCTGAGAAACATAGAAGAAACATCTGTAGGGGAGGCATTAGGAAGAGAAAGGAATCATCTCTATAAGATCTCAAAGACTGAGAACCCTAGAGTAGCCCTGGAGAGGAAAGATGCGTGAACTCAAAGACAGATTAAAGTTCAACAGTTTAAAGTTCATTCAAGTAAGTAATTATCATAACTATGATCATGAATGGGATGAATTCACTCATAAAATGGAAGGACTTAGCAGAATAAGTTAGAAAACAAAATCCAACAATATGCTGCTTACAAGAAACACACTTGAAACATGAAGATTCATACAGCTGTAAATAAAGGGCAGGTGCAAAATATATTGTGCCTCAGTTAAACACAAAAAAGTCAAGGGTAGCAATTATGATTTCAGGTGAGGAAACAACAAAAATAGATTTAATTAAGAGAAATAAAGAGGGAAATTATATTTTACTGAAAGGTAACACAGATAATAAGTTAATTGCAATATTTAACATGTATATATATAATATATATATACACATATATATACACATACATACTCAATGGCATAACTTATCAATACCTAAAGGGAAAACTAAATTAATTACCAGGAGAAATAGACAATAAAGCTATAATAATGGGGGACCTCAATTTAGCCTTATCCACCTAGATAAATCTAACCAAAAAATAAACCTGAAAAAAGTTAAGGACCTGATTAGGATGTCAGAAAAATTAGATTTGATAGTTATCTGATGATTACTGAATGGAAACAGAAAGAAGCACACATAATTCTTAGTTCTAATGGTACTCCTAGAAAAATTGATCATATCTTAAGATTAAAAAACTACAAAACAAATGAAGAAAAATAAAAACATTATACACATTGTTTACTAATCCCAATACAATGGAAATTATGTTAAATAAAGGGCCACTGGAAAAGTGTTAAAAATCAACTAGAGATTGCTCCTAAAGAATTGTTGGGTCAAAGAAGAGATAAACTAAACAATAGAAAATGTAATTAAAAGATGATGATAAAAATGAGAAACCATTTCAAAATTTTAGAGATACAGCCAGAGTTCTTATGTTCCTAAACTCTCTTATTAACATAAAAAGAAAGAGCAGATCAATGATTTGAAAATGCAACTAAACTAACAAATTTCAAAGCCTTAATTAAAAACCAAAATAGAAATCCTGAAAATCAGACAAGAAATTAACAAAATTAGAAACAAAAAAAAATTGAATTGATAAATAAAAGTAGGAACTTTTTTTTTAGAGAAAAAAAGATAAACTGACAATTCTATTATTCATCTGCAGTTATGGGTCACAGTGCCAGGGCAGAGAGGAGTACTGGTGGTTGGTCAAAATGGAGCAGGGGCTCTGGTCATAGTTCCAAAGCAAAGGAGAGCATAGTGCTTACAGCTGCAGGGGATCAGGGGCCCTTCATGGGTAAAGATCAGAGTATAGACTAGGAGAGTAGTAACATATTATACCTCTTCTAGGATCATCCCACTTTGGAAGTACCAAAAACTTGCAGACCTCCCCCCCACCCAGAACTAGCTCTGAAAACAGCAGCAGGAAAAAGTCTGAAGCATGGGATAGTGCCTCCCCACCCCCAGGTAATCAGCCCAAATATAACATAAAGTTAAAAGTCAAGACATAGGCTGGAAAAATGAGCAAACAATAAAAAAGAGAACTTGACCATAAAAAGCTACCGTAGTGGTAGGGAAAACCAAAACATAAAATCAAAAGAAGAAAACAATGTTAAAATAGCCACCCAAAAAAAAGAAAGAAAAATGCTAATTGGCCCATACCCCATAAGAATTCCTGGAAGAGTTAAAGAGATAAGAGTGGTAGATGAAAAATTAGGCAAAGAAATGAGAGTGATAGGAGCAGCTAGGTGGTGCAGTGGATAGAGCACTGGCTGTGGAGTGAGGAGGACCTGAGTTCAAATCCGATCTCAGATCAAACACTTGACACTTACTAGCTGTGTGACCCTGGACAAGTCACTTAACCCCACTGCCTAGCCAACAAAAAAGAAAAAAAAAGAAATGAGAGTGATGCAAGAAAATTATGGAAAAAAGAATTAACAGCTTAGTAAAATAGGCACAAAAATTTACTAAAGAGAAGAACACCAGTAGAATTGGCCAAATGGAAAAAGAGGTACAAAATCTCACTGAAGAAAATAATTCCTCAAAAATTAGAATTGGGTAAATGAAAACTAATGATGTCATGACTTCAACAAAAAACATTTTTTTAAAAGTCAAAAGAATGGGAAAACAACTGAAAACTGAAAAAAAATGGAAAATAGATTGAGGACAGATAATTTAAGAATTATTGGACTACCTGAAAGCCATGATCAAAGAAAAGGCCCAGACGTCATATTTCAAGAAATTATCAAGGAAAACTACCCTAATATCTTAGACCCAGTGAGTAAAATGGACGTTGAAAGAATACACCAAGCACCTCCAGAAAGAAATCCCAAAATAAAAACTCCAAGGAATATAAGAGCCAAATTTCAGAGCTCTCAGGTTAAAGAGAAAATACTTCAAGCAGTCAGAAAAAAACAATGTAAATATTGTGGAGTCACAACCAGGATCACACATGATTTAATGGCTTTCATATTCCACTTTCAAGCATTCCTAATGAAAAGACCAGAGTTAAATAGAAAATTTGACATTCAAACACAAGACTAAGAGAAGCATAAAAATTATGCTAGAAAGAGTAATCATAAAGGATGCAATAAAATTAAACTGCTTATACTTCTATGTGG